GTTTACAGATCAAGAAAGCAGCATCAGAAGATGGCCCTCGAGTATTTGTCGTTCCATCTCGAATGAAGACCAAAGATGATGATAGATTGGAAGTTAAGGAAGATGAGAAGCAGACAGTATCCATCTATGTGACGCCTAAAGACTTTCTTCCCGACGCCGTCTACGATATCTTGGTTGTCAGATTTGTGAGTTTGAGTCAAGAGAATGGTTATTGTGATGACCCAAAGTTGTTTCAGAATCAGGCTAAAATTCTATTCGATGATAAACATTACCTAAGACTAGGTCGAATATCAATTGATAATAAACGTTCTTTGAAGGTAAGTATGCCTTTTATTTTTTAAATATATGCGTATACGTACATTATTTTTTCATTATTATTCTGTTTATTTACTTTTTAATTATAGGGTCACCATTGAGGTTTTTCATAGATATTCCTTATTTAAAACAAGTATCTTAACCGCTAAGCAACAGCTCCACTCCATGATTAAACAAAAAGAATACACTATACAACTCAGTTATTTGAATATTGTTTGTAATTAAATTGTTTTTCATTTTAAAGCTTGAAATATTACGGATGAAAGAGAGAGGCGCAGACGGCACAAACATGTCAGCTTGCAAGCCGCATCCTGATGTCTGTAAAGAGGTAATGATTTAATTCATTGATCATTGGTGATCTGAGATTATACTTAATTTAGATTTGATACCAAATGGCTTATTATATTATAATTGAATTTGAAGTAAAACATTTGTATTACATTTTACAGGTTTTGCAGGTTTTAAAGCAACACCTAGGTGAAGTATATCCGTCTAAGAGAGTTGTCGGCTATGCTCTGAAAATCCTTTGCTTAGTCTGTTCAAACACTGAGGAACCACACTTTCAAGAACTTGAGTACTGCTTAAAGAACAAGAATATGACTTGTGACAAAACAGGTGAACTTATAACGATGCCAGCATCTAATGTACAGAAGCTATTTGCAGCTGGTATGTGTTTAGTCTATTGAAATAATAATTCATAAAATGATTAGATAATTTTGAGTGGAGTAAATTCCAATTTAGGTAGAGAAACGATTGTAAACACAATTAGAGAATTCAAGACTAAATAATTTCCAAATTATTTTATCATTTCACAGACTAGTCTGTTATTTAAAAAAAGATAAAGTTCACTCAGTTGATTTTATAATTAAATTAAATTATATTTTATTTGTTGGGGCTATTTTTTTTTGTATTTTATTGTCCTTCACAAAATTGACTACAGCAACTGTACTTAAGTACACTGTTGTGCAACACTATTTTTATCAAGGATTTTAAAAGTGAAACAAACAGTGAATTAATAGGAGCTTGTATCTGTAATAATTGTAACAACAATTTTACATAACAATAATGTGAAACAAATAATTATATATATAATTATAGGTATTCTACATCAATCCTCGGTTATGGACACGGTTCATCAATCCTCGGCTACTGCTACGCCTCATCAATCCTCGGCTACGCATACGTCTCATAGGCCTGCATGCTCAGGTTGGTCAAGATACACTTACACTGTAAAACATATAAAACAGGTGGAGCTCGATGTCTTCCTGCTTTATATGCAAACACATTAACCAACTGAACCAACTACAACAGAGGCTTGTAAAAATTTGAATCCGATTAGAAACAACTATTTTGTGTATGTGTGTAATAGCACTAGTTAATGTACTATGTAAAAAAAGAAAAAAAAAAAGAACAATGAAACAGCTTCATCTTCAGAATTTGAAACGAGACTGGATTTCCAAAGAGATACTTTTATACAACCCTAGATACATGTAAGGAAATTTTGATGATACGTTATGGGGGAACCCCTAAAACAACAGCAAGTGCAATGAATAAGAGTAAAGACTATTGAATTGCAAGAGCTCCGACTGCCCTGATTTTGTATGCACGCAATGGAACATACTGCCACGTGATGGGGGCGCCCTATTATATTTCGATTAGAGTTCGCTCGAAACTCGTCTTTTAAGTTTTAAGGACACGCCCCTTCGTGGCACTATACTTTTTAAAATAGGATTACGTTTCAACGAAACCACGAGAGTTGGATCAATTGCAGTTCTATATTCTTTAATAAGAGGAATAATCTTCATACACTTATCGCATTGTTCCACTTAATGTTTTTTGGTTCATTATTTTTCAAATAATTTTTTTCTTAATTTTGTTCAGATAAGGAGTTCCAAGAGCTAAAAGCTGTTGTCTCACAGTGGTATGACAGCAACAAAAGTGTTCCTTTGCTGAAAGTGTTGTTCAGAGACAAGATAGACAATTACGAGCTATCACCAGAAACTCACACGATGGACCTGCTGAATATATTATTTGCACGTGGTCATCTGAGTTCACAGAATCTTGGACTCCTTTGTGATACTATTAGCATAACCAAACAGTTGGGTCTTTTAACGAAGATTAAAGAAAAGCTGCCATCATTTCCAGATGTTGAGGAAGGAACCATTTCAAAAACATTCACATCTCATAGACAAAGGCTAATGAAATTTGGAATGGTACTGACCCCAGATAATGTGACGCAGATCGATGAATTGTATAATACGCCTTCTAAGAAGTACAAAGACGGCTGGAGTATGATCAACGATCTAGAAGACCAACAGAAAGTCAGCGAAGAAAATATGAAGGAATTCACTGATTCGCTGAAAACCCTTAAGCTCAGTTTGGCATTAAACGAATTAACATAAGGTAGCCTATCTCTTTATTCTATTCATTATTTATTTAAGTTGTGCAGGTATAGAGTCAAATGCACTAATATTAAACATTAAAACTGCAGTAAATTTAGCAAGTATAACAAGTATAGCCAAGGAGTTTACCGATAATTTTGACATAAGATAGCATGAAATAAACTCCGAAAAATTATTACTGAAGATGATAAACAATTAAAATTAGATTTTAATTTAGCGTGTTTAGCAAAATAATCCTAATTATTTAAAAATACAATTGGATTTATTTTTTCACAGTGTAATTAACTCACTAGTGATGTCGGAACGCAGCTGATAATGTTTCTCGTTAAGTCAAGCCAAATTAAAGATTCAGATGTTGGTACATTCTTGATTGATAAAGGAACGAAGGACGTCTAAAATCAGTAAATTTTTTGTCGACAGTGAAAAGAAATAAAATCTTTAAGCTGTGAACTTATATCAATACATTTGTCATTACATTGATGATGAAGTTGATTCGGCAATACAATAGTTCTTACTCAAAAGACTTCTTGGTAACACCAGATATGTCAGTCGTCAAATCTAATCCGTATCGAAACAATCATTTGTCACAATCACAATGCAGGAAGTTTGATCAAGGCTGGCGAAATCTGACAGACTACCAAATGAAGTCAGGCGCAGATTCCAGAGAAATAAAAACATGTAAGAAGTTACATAATGCATGGATAGCCAGTCTAACATACAGTTTATTTAATTACGTCAGTACATACAGCTTGTACAACAAGCTCCCACCCCCTCCCCCTTCATGTACACACACGCAAAATAGTACATGGATCATAATGATTAATACCGGTATTGTAACATAAATGATTGCAATACGCATGTAATAATGTCGTCACCACAGTATAGACCTAGTTGTATAGAAATTCAATTGGAGTGGATTTTTATTCTGGTCAATAAAATGTTTGCTTTATCATCCACAGGATCCTGACTTCAAATCCTGTAACATCAAAATTGTGTTTTCTCACGAATAAAATGACATCACTCCCTAACGCTGCTATGCATAAATATTAACTACTTTTTAGAAGTTTTTTTTTAATACAAAATTCAATTCATATAAAACTTGAAGGTTAATAGATAAGTGTGTATCACTCAATTAAATTTTTATAATTTTATTTTTTAATTGTTATAATTGTACAGTTTAAATAATTGTAATATTTATACTGTATAATAATAACAGTGCCTATCATGTTTAATTATTATACATAATAAGCGGTAATTCACTTTTGTACGTATAATTATGAGGTATTTTTGAGTAAAGTCTAATTTATATTTTTATATCAATATTACATTTAATGACTAATGTGCAACATTGATGATCTAAATCATGTACTTCTAACATCAAAATTGTGTTTTCTCATGAATAAAATGACGTCACTCCCTATTGCTGCTATGCATTAACATTAACTACTTTTAGAAGTTTTTTATACGAAATTCAATTCATATATACTTGAAGGTCAATAGATAAATGGCTTGTGTATCACTCACTTTAATTAAATTTATATAATTATAATTTTTAATTGTTATAATTGTACAGTTTAAATAATTGTAATATATATACTGTATAATATTAAGCAGTAAATCACTTTTGTACATATAATTATGAGGTATTTTTTGAGTAAGTTTAATTTATATTTTTATATCAATATTACAATTAATGACTAATGTGCAATATTAATAATCTAAATCATGCACTTTAAATACTGTAAATATAAATTTGAATAATGATAATAATGTAATAATTATAACTATTAGGAATTCAATTTATACTGAACCGTTTTTTATAAAGTAAGTGTTATTTATAGTTTTGTAGTTAATTGTTCAATTATAATTATGACTTTTTAATTGATATAAATTATAAATACTAGTACGTAATGCTCATTTTTTTGTGATATTCATTACATTATCCGACTTGTTTATGTATTAAGATGATAAGTTAAGTTTTTTTTCAAAAATAGTTCCCCATATCTTAAGCCCAGTTTACACATTTTGTGACGTCATATTGTAATATAATATAATTGAATTTCTAAACTTTCGGACAACTAAAATTTCAGTGAAGTATCCTATTAATATACATAACACCAGCTAGATATTTTCTCCTCTTGGTATTTTATGTGGTGGAGTGTTTTTTTAGCAACAGCTAAAAAGATATATATATATATATATATATATATAATGTTATTTTACAAGTAACAATATTTTTTAGGACTGTTAGTTTTTGTTACCGTATTGCTTCAAAATAGAAAGCTTCATTTGTAACGATAAAATCCATTGTCACGTGATATTATTTATACTTTGCGTTTTGTGTAATTGGTTGTTAGTGGTTATACGAAAATCGACAAAGAAAATCAATAATTATATTATCACAGACATAGGGTATGTAACTATATACGAAGCCCCAACGTGTATTTAATTGTTGTAATCACATTTAGTTGAAGAAACTCTGGTTCAGGAATATAAACTATTATTTACGAAAAGTATTCAGTGATGTGTAAAATTTACTCTCATTATAGTCATCGTAACACTGCCAACGTTATCGTCAGTAGGCCTATCGTCGTAATCATCGTCCTTATCGACGTCACCATCAAAATTGCTCAGGCGTAACGCAAGTGGTGCTCTGCTGCTGCGACTCCAGTACAGAATATAATACAGGTCCTTTATTAGACATTTTGCGACGCCCGTGAGGGGAGGTTGTTTGAGATAGGGAAGTATAGCTCCTGTCAAGAACTCAATAATTTTTGAGGAGGAACATTGCTTTGACAAAAGCATTTTTACAATATGAGAGTGCCATTTCCGAGTGTCTAGAGAAATTTATTCTTATAATTTGCTCACTTGAGGGTGTTGCCTAACTTCACCTCCCCCTCCCTCCGGTTCCGCCCTTGGGAAGAGGGTGGAACCGGGAGAGAAGACAAATTAAAGGGAGGGTCCAGATTTCCCCAGCCACAATAGTTGGAGCTGTGGCACGGAATATGGCCATGGCACCTCCTGTACAGCCTTGTTTAGAGATTGCTGTATTATGGGCCTTATAAATCCATTGTTTGATTGTGTGTTATTTTATGATTTTTCCCTAGCAATCTTTAAATCTTAAAAGGAGTGTTTTGTACTTGACGTGTAAAATTAACTCTCATCAATAATCAGCCAACAATCATCATCACCGTCGTCGTAATTATCCAAGTAGTCTTTATTGCTGTCGTTATCAACATTGTGTCGGTCATTAATTTAAATTTCAATTAAATCAAATACCGCAATGTTTTCATAAAAATCATATCACGTATCGTATCGATAATGCATCATTGTATCTGGGATAATACAATTACCTGCCTGCTCCTACACCATCATATTAGTTCATAACCCTTAAATATTATTTAAACTTTCTAAACAAAAATAAAAACTAAAGACGAAAGACTAACCATTAATTTATGTAATTCTCACTGGAAGTTAAAAATCATTAAATAAGAAATTCAATATTTTAGTTGTAATTTTCATGAGTCTCTGAAACAGACAAAATGACTTTATTTCTGTAGAGGGCAGTATTACTATTAGACTTCGCACGTCCACTGTCTGTATGATTTTCAGAGTTTACGCATGTGTTGATGATCGGAGCAATCGGAGGAGGAATTCTCTGCCTAAGATTGTAAGGAGGAATATTTAGCATAGATAGCTAGGCTTCGCCCGGGTCCCTAACTACGTACTGTAAACGTAACACGTACAATAAACAAGGAGTCATTTTGTTTATTTGATAATCTTTTTCTTGACCTTTCAGTAGGAGCCTAGGCCCTAGAGTAGTAGTAGTAGTAGTATGGTAGGCCGTAGGCTCTAGGCTATTTTGCTAGGCTTGGCAAAAACCAAGAAACTAATGAAATATGCGTAGGCCTAATATTATTAAACTAGGTAGTAATATTAGTGGTCTACACTAATTTTAAGGGCCTATACTTCTTTTTTACTTTTTTTTTTTTTTCTTTTTCTTTTTCATTTCCTTCACATCCAACAGCAAGTACACTCGCCACTTGCAGGATGAGAATACGCCTTTTTCACGAATCGGTAGACATCTTGAAGTGATGACAAACATTGCGAGTCAGCGGTGCGTAACCAACAGAAATAAGATAAGCTTTTGGGCTGATTTTCTGACATAGGCCAATGCATTACAGTGCAGTAGCATAGGACTTTCAAGTTGTTACTGTTCCAAGTAGCGATAATATACATATTTCTCTTATTACAAAGTACAAGTTATGTTTTATAAAGAGGTATAGTATAGTAAATCATGTTTTTAACACAGGAAACTCTCATATGGTAACTAAAACAATGCTAGTTCAGAGTATTACTAGTACTACAGCACTGTAATGCATATACCTATTTTAATACACTACTGAGATAGGCTTTTATTTTTCAATCTATAATAATAATATACAGATTTCTCTTATTATAAGTACGAGTTATGTTTTATAAAGAAGTATAGTATACTATACTATACTTCTCCAACAGTATAGTAAATCATGTTTTTAACATAGGAACCTCTCATATAGTAACTAAAACAATGCTAGTTCTGAGTATTAAGTACTACTGCACTGTAATGCATAGGCCTAGACCTATTTTAAATACAATTACTAATAGATTCTTTTAGATAGGCTTTTCTTTTTCCATCTTGATTTCAGAGGTCAAAACCATTTTTTAATTTTTTTTCAATCATATAGTGGTGTAGACTTGTCTTTTAAGAACATTTTGCTGGAATTTTTTTTTGGATACGACGCCCTGTTATAGAGTTATGATTTTTTAAATAACATGATGTCAAAAAATCCGCCCAAAAGCTTATCTTATTTCTGTTGGTTACGCACCGCTGATTCGCAATGTTTGTCATCACTTCAAGATGTCTACCGATTCGTGAAAAAGGCGTATGATGCTTTATAAACTAAGTCACTTTATGAGGCTTATTAGGGAGTGGAGTTGTTTTTGGTCGGGAGAAAAATTCCTGCCGTGACAGGAATTGAACCCAGGACATTGGGATCAGAAGGCAAGCATCTTTAACCACTGAGCTATTCAACTCCCAAATCCAAGTACTACAGTACTTTTGCAAGGCTTGGTCTCTCTAGGGCCTAGCCCCCCCCCCCCACCTCAACGTTGGGAGTCCAAGCCACAACCGATGCGCCAACTGCTTCTACAAAAATAACATAACATTACCGTTATTTTGACTGCCAATGTCATATTATTGTGGTCTATTCTAAGCCATAAAAACTCATTTCGTGCATCGTACAAGGTCCAAGGGAGGTTTATTCTGGGCCGAGGCTTCATTGGCGCTTGCTTGTCTCAGACCTTCGTTAGACCGGTTGTCGACAAATCTCTGGCGTCGCCGCTGAGTCTAGGCCTATCCTAATGTAGTAACATGAAAATGTTTAAAGTTATATTTATAGCTAAGTGTATAAAGCATTTGGTCAAGAGCATTGTCCCTGCTTCTTGCACTGTAGACCCTTAGTCAGGTTTTAAATGAAGTCAGATTGCTCTTCTCCTTGAACAATCCTCGTGTGAGAATTAGATATGTTGGTACTGGCATTGCACTGTGGCTACCGTGGGTTCTTAGGGACCCAGCCAAAATTTCGAATTTCAAATATTTTTAATTTGATAAAAATGGAAAATTTTATCATTTAAAAAAAATCTATATTCTTAAATAGGTACATTGGAGTGATAAGAATGATGGTGATTTTTGGTAATGTATTTGGTAATAACTAATAAAATGTTTATAAATCCTTTTTTAAACAGGTAATTAACAATTATGTTAATGTCATGATGATTGCATTCAAAGTAAAGGCTCTAATTTGCCAGGGGAAGATCAATCATTTCAAAAGACATCTACTGCTTGCAACAACGAATCACAGATGCAGACACACAAAGAGTAATTCATATAAACTACTAAGTTACAGGCCACCTGATTGGGCAAGCCAGCTTCAAATGATTCCATTAGTGAAAGTTAAGGTAGTGAAAAATCCAATTGTATATAAATATATTTGATTTTCAAAATACTTTTATTTATATATGAGAATATAATTTTTTTAATGTATTGATCAGTCAATTTTTAAAAGCTGAACTCCTGCTTTAGGGCACTCTTATTA